ACCTCCTGAATGTGGGACGGCTACACTGCCGATGTACTACTGTGTAGCTGTGTTCCGCGGAGAGTAATCCACTGTTACTAAGCGTCTCTTTCTTGTCAACTTCCGTTGTGGTTTTTGAATTTGTTTGGTGGCTTTTGTGTTCGTGTTGTGGGATTTGTGTTCGTGTTGTGGCTTTTCTATTAGGCCTGAAACCTACGGGCCACCGTACCTAACTATCTGACTAATCAACTGAATACTGGCCACTACCAAGAAATTGCTTATATGCCATATGCCAAATATTCAATTATTAGTTTATTTCCTAAGTAAATATGTAATAATTGGGCACAAGGAGAACAGTATAACTACACAAAACACTGTATGATATTTCAAACTTCTCCTACCTGTTTTTTATGTGATAGTATATGGCAAATGCGACGCTGGAACAGAGAGAAATCAACAGAGACAAGACAGTGAAGCACTGGATGTGATTTTAATCTTTTGCATTAAAACAAGCGCTCGTATCTTGCGTCTGCATTTGCACGACATGTCTGTAGTTTCACCGACTGATACGTCGCCACTAGTATTGAAGGACATCTTGATGTTTTGTCTGCAGTTCAGAAAAGCTGCACATTTGGTTTGTTTACACCCCTGACTTGCACCATAAGACACTGCTAACCACACGTTAGCTGGTTAGCTTCCAGCTGGTTCATTTAAATGAAAGTGTATTTTGAGTGTACTGAGATATTTTTGAGTAGTGAAGGGAAAATCACGTCACACTAAAATTCTAAATGTTAGACTATTCCTGTGAAGGTTCTCAGTCACCCAGGTCATAGTCATGCAAGGGCGGTTAAAATCAAGGGCAACTGTACTGGTTGAAGATATCTGAAGACGTGAGCTGAAGAAGCCGAAACAACTTTGAGTATCTCCAACCAGTCCAGTTGCCCTTGATTTTAACCGCCCTTGGATATTCCAGTGAAGATGTGCAGAACAAGACAGAGGTCACTTACCATTTGATCGTGCTCTTGAGGTTGGGCTGGCTTACTGTGCTATCATCAATGAATATTGTTGAGCAGGAGCTGAACTTTTTTGTCAGGAGCCCTGGGGACATATGCTAGAGGAGAGATGATAATGTAACACAAAAGATTAAGAAACAAGTAATTTCAAGTGAAAATTCTTACCTAAAAAAAATAAGCTATTGGCATTTCTGTTTCCGATTTGTTGTTTGTGAGTGTATCTTTCTCAGTCTTACTGAAAAAAATCACTCTGTCATGCTAAAATCTGCCAAAACCGCCATCAAGTACATGAAGACCTGTCACTTACATGATTCATGTAGTTGCTTTTTCTTTTCTCACGCACTGAAACTGGGAGGAAAATAAAAAAGTCAGTGAGATTATGTGTGCACAATTATTGAGTGATGACATCTTTAACAGAGGAATACTGACCGTCGGTCTGCGACTTGTTGAGGAAGAGGGTGCTGGCTCGGGGGTGGTCTGACGGGTTGGCCTCTTGGGCCAGTTCTGTAAGATGCAAGTATGAAAATGAAAGGGGGGGGGGCGTTTTTTAAAGCACCGCACTAAATCGGGTCAACGCACAATTTGTATGTCCCATGAGTCTCGATAATGGTTTTACGTTGCTTTTGATATTGTAATAAACTGTAGATAAGAGATGAGTCTGACTCATCACAAATTATCTTTAAAACTGTACCCTTTTCTGTAAATGCTGTGAACAACACCGGGGTACACATTCACTGTATAAGGGTCTTTTAAACATAAGTCCCCAATAAATATAATCATCACCCACCATCAGGCAGCTCCCTGTCGCTGATGTGCTGTAGGTAGGTCCCAGTGTCTTCACTCACGTCCTCCGTGGTGGTGATGGGACACTCCTCCAGCTCCACCGCCCTCCTGTGGATCTTGGGACTCCCTCCAGGGGAGATGCAGCAAGACACCGAACCTCCCATCGTTGACCTACAAAAGTCCTGCTACAGCCAGCACCGTTTCCCATACAACTGAGGAGGAATCACCTACAAGTCTGACTGACAACACTGGGCCGCAGGGTGTCTGCAACTTACGTAAAAGTTTAATCTAAATCTTTTAAGTGGCGGTCAATAACATGCAACACCAAAAAGAATAATCTGTAACTGGATTTGTCTGGCTTTCAGATAAAAACCTACATGTAAAGCTTTAAAATGATCTCATTTTAGTTTAGTATATTAGGGACCAGTTTAGCTGCAAAGTGAAAGATCTGGCTTCAGAGTAGAATGGGATCTATGTGATGACAGCAAACAGGGGATTTGCAGAACAGCTGACATATTCAGGGCGTGTGCGCAACATAGCACTGGCGCACTTTAATAATGCCATGCGTGCACTGGATAGTTTTGGACGGTTAATATCTAATATCAACTCATTTTACTGTTTAAATGCTAACAATACCAAAGTCACAAGCTCCTCTTTCTACCTCCATGGCTAGCCGGCTAACGCTAGCTTCCGCAGCTCAATCCATTCCTGGCTTCTTCAGCAGCATGGATCAATCCATTTTCACTGCAGTTGTAGTCCCTGTCACAGTGAACGGCTTTCCAAGCAGACTAACGTACACATTCACTGACTGGAAAACAAACTCTGGAGTTAACTAAGGAATAGGAAAGGTGGCGAGTGTTGGAATTCTAAACAAAATAGCAAACGTTAGCTTTCATCTCGCCGCATTTGCAGGAGACACGTCTTGGATGTCAAATCCTCCGAAGCTTTTGAGTTCAGAGGTAACATCCGGATGTGCCTTTCAAACTAAATGTCCTCATAGTGTGTACGTTATAGTCTCATACGGTAGAATGTGATTGTGTAATAAAATGTAAATGCAGTCAATTTAACACAAGCGTGTACATTTTGAGTGACTGACCCTTTAATGTATTTAGCACAACATGCACCATAACTGCCTGTAATGCAGAAATCATTGTAACTAACCAAAGCCAGTGCTTTAGGCAGCATCTCTCAGTGAAATAATAGAAAAGGCATACTTTACATTATAAGTGTAACACATGAACAATGCATGTTCTGAGATTAAAGTGACACAGATACAAAGCTGTACGTTTAAAGGTGGCTGGTAAATTCTTAAAAGAAAATGAATCTCCAAAAATGAAAATACACTTCTGGAAACTTCTCAAACAAGTACTTTAGAATAATCATATAGCCAAAGTTAAAACCTACAAATATATTTATTAACATTATATTTAATACTATAAACAATTATTGCAAATATCATAATTCTGAGGGGTGGAAGTCAGTATTAGTAGAAAGGAATTTAAAGGACAATTGAGGAAAGTCAAGTTTAGAGCTTTTGTAATGCACATATTAAACTAAAGACTATTCGGGTTTTCTCTATTTACTTTTTGCCCTTTCTTTTGCTTGGTCGTTTCAAAATTTAAGCTTTAAATTCACCTCACTCTAGGGTGCGAGAGACCTAAAGTGAGTACATTTATCTGAGTTTTATTTTGAGTGCAGGAACGCAAATGAAACATAAATTACATTGCGGCCATGTGTTGTCAGCTTTACAGACCTGGTGGCCTTCATCTGCAGACACCGCCCCCTCCATTACGGAGAAAACAAGCCGTTGAGAAAAACCTTGCGGGCACGCCCATTATGAAACCGGGCTTTCCCATTGGTCACTTTCATCCGAGCTGTTATATCATTGGCTGAAGTAGCTCATTGACGTACATAGGAGACTGGGATCGATGTCTCTCACGCTACAATGTCTGCTAAAACAAAGTAGCTTGTTCCGAAGTAATGAGGCAGGAAATTGGTGTGATATTTTGGAGAAAATAAAGACGCTGGAACGAATTAAAAGAACTGGACACTGAGGGTCATACATCAGTCCACAAGATGGCAGTAATGAATCAGCCAGGCGTCTTAAATCCTCAAAGAAGAAGAACCGCATTGCGCATGCGTAAAGGACAAAAGGTATAATATGACTGCTTAGTGCGGTTTCTATTTATTTTACAGCATGGCCCTTGTTCCGTATGTCGAGAATTCTTTACCTGCGCTTTCCAAACTCCACAATTCATCAGCCCAGTTTCGGTTCGCCAACCACGACCTCCGTCTTGCCCAGGACTGGAAAAAGCTCGGGGTAGCAGCAGTTGTGTGGGATGCGGTAGGTGATATATTAGTGGCAACGTTACTACCGTCCATCATTTATTACTACGTATTTGTTCAAATGTTCATATTCCGTCTGTTTCCAGGCAGTTGTCATGTGCATGTATCTGGAGCTGGAGAAGGTGGAGTTAAAGGGGAAGGGGGCAATTGAACTGGGAGCTGGCACTGGACTGGTGGGCATTGTAGCAGCCTTGCTGGGTGAGTACTGAGTACATTACTGTCCAATTGAAGACTTGTGAGTGGAAAAGATATTTTAGTATCCCATCCTGAAAGTAAAAATCCATTAAATAGTGTTGGCAAATGCATTTAAAAGTATTACACCTAAATATCAATGTTGGCCTTGGAAAATTTATCAGTCAGTGTCACATTCCTAAACTTTCTAGGTGCTAAAGTTACCATCACTGACAGAGAGCCGGCCTTGGACTTCCTCTCTGCCAACGTGAAGGCAAACCTGCCCCCAGACTCCCAGGGATCTGCGGTTGTGTCAGAGCTGACCTGGGGCGAGGGCCTTGAACGTTACCCGGCAGGGGGATTTGATCTGGTGCTGGGGGCAGACATCGTTTACCTGGAGGATACCTTTGTGCCGCTGCTGCAGACTCTAGAGCACCTGTGCTCGGACAGCACCGTGGTGTTACTAGCCTGCAAGATCCGCTACAAGAGAGACACAGACTTTCTGAGCATGCTGAAGCAGCGGTTCAGAGTTGAAGAGGTCTACTATGACAAACAAAGGGACATCCATTTGTATCAGGCTTGGAAACTGCCACCTCAGAGGGATTTGTGACAACTACCTAGTCAGTTTTCCTTCATTGACTGCCTTCTTCTTTGTAAAAATTTACTGTTTTTGCATAATAATCAAATAAAGTCTTTAAAAATCAAAGATTACCAGAAACACATTTATTAACAGCTGCCAAAAATGTAATATTTGAATAGCTCTAACATAATGCATTGTATTATACAAGTTGGTGCTGACATTTAGAAAGTGTGAATACAAAATTAATGAAAAGCAACATAAAAAAAGCATACTGTCATGACAATACATAACATCTAAAATAATACAACATGGCATGCCATTATCATGAAAATATCCATTTTGTTCACTGTGAAGTCATTGTTTGATTTGGTCGCACTTTACACTCCCTTCGCAGGGTGCCAGAAGGTGCAATCGAGTCGTACTTTGAGATGTGACGCTCCACACAACTGAAACTAAATCAACTGTTTGATGATGCCTTAAAAATCACTAACAAACAAAACACTTGTGGACGCTTTGTATCTAATTTAGCAGTGCTACCTAGAGGCAGGTGATTTGCAGCAGCAGGGTTTGCCTGTTACTGCTGCATGAGCTTTTCCTGTTAAATCATGTTAAACGTAGTAGGATTGTGTATGCAAGGAAAGTGCGCATTCCACTCTAATCCTGTAAACATAATTTGGGGACAGCCTCCGCTGATGCCTTAACAGTCACCACTACAGAGAGGGGTCCTGGTATCTCAGATTCATATTAGAAAATGTATCAACCTCCACCTGCAGGCATTGTTTTTGCTTTCGCTTCACTGATACAGAATTCATTTAGACTTTTCAAATAACAGAAACGTGGTGACATTACATGTTCAACGACTGTAAAATACACCAACATACCAGCCAATGCGCCATTCCAGGGACGGGCCGAGTCGCTCCAAAAATTTGTTTGCAAACTATTACTTTCATCGCAAAACAAGTAAGGCTCATTATTTTTGTTTTTTCTTGAAAAATAATCCAGGAATTAATAACATGGAGAAAAAAAAATGGATTGAAAAATCCATAATATAAAAATTTTAAAATACCACTTATAGCACAAACCATAGTTTATCATTTTTTTGTTTATATTGCATACTCTGGTGCATGAGCAGCAGCTTATTTCCATTTTTCTGAACAATTTCTATCAAAAGGAGGCATATTATGCCATAGGGGACCCCGTTTACAACTACAGTGAACAGCAGGAAACAAAATCCTAGTTTGAAATCTAAACTAGTCTGCTCCTTTTATAAATCTGGGGACGTTTTAGTTAGGATTGGTAGAAATCAAAAACAATGAGCCTCAGCAATATGATCTGGAACATGCATTTTAAAAACAGCCTCTTATCACCATGTCTTTTTAAAGCTGCATTTAACATAAAAAACATTTTACAACCCAATGTAATGGTTAGCCTTTTTTGTTCATGTCGTATCAAGGCAAAGTAAATTAAAGCAAAATAAAAAGTCAATGGCATTATGCAAGCTGATAATCCAATACATAATAAACCAAAACATAGCTAAAAAGATAAAAATATCCATGACACAGCCCATCTACAGTTCAGAGCGTTAGTAAGTAACAGATGTTAATGCAGGAGAGCAGTTACAATAACAAACGTTGCACACGAAGGTAACCTCTCCAAACGATCCAAGTGTCTCGGGGAGATCAAACTGTAAAAAGTTCCGTCGCTAGTGGTGATGGTAACTGAGCAGTCCCTCGTTGCTGGTGATGCTGCCTAGTTGGTCCAGGCTCCAGGGACTGGAATGCTTCCCTTTGGTGGCGTTACAACAAGAACATCCTCAATGTCTGTTCTGTCGCTTCACCACAAGGACCCTGTGTAGTTGTACTCCCCTCAGCATCCATTCTTAATCTTGTCACCCCTTTTCATGGGATTCCTTGTTGAGTCACAAATTTTTCAGCAGTTTTTTAAAAAGAAAGCAAACGAGTAGAAAAGGGGAAGTGGCATCCAGATGCATGGCTCTGTGCATAGTCTCTGTACATGGGGACAGACGGGCACCTGTTGAGCCCCTGGCAGGCATTCAGGGACGTTTCTACTCAGATTTGTGGCAGTACAAGTCTTTAAGGGCTTTCAGTTCCTCGATGAGGGTTTTGTTCTGGTTCTCCAGCACAGCCACGCGGTTTTCCAGACACTTGACGTATTCCTTCTTCTTCCTGCGACACTCGCGGGCTGCCTCCCTGTGTGACACAAACACCATGTGTGAGTGTATGTCTGTGGTAAACGCCTAAACATGTGTACAAGTACATGGCTACATTTACTTGCCACTCCAACCAAAATGCTCTTCGATATTTGGAACATTCGTTCAGGAAAACCTAAAATGAGCACTAGTCTGTTGTTTCCCTCCCTACATTACCGGAAACGTAAGACATGATGATGCAGACATAGTGGTCCACTGACATAAGCGCCACAGACAGCTTTGCTTTAATTGTAGCATCCTTTGATAAAGTGACTGGATCATCATCCACAGGTATAATGTTGTTGGTCCAGTAAGTATTATTATAAATAATAAAATAAAATAATAAAATAATAAATAATATTAATCACACTGTCACAGAACAGAACTGTTTGCACAGTGTCTTATTTCTAGATGTCAATCTTAGTGGTATCAAAGAAAACAGCAATATCCTGGCAACACTGAAAGTACACACACCATTAGTCAACCTCAATACACTTACCGGTTTTTCATTAGTCGGACCTCCCTTTTGCGTGTGACTTCCTCAGTGCCGCCTCCTGAGCCCAGTGCAGGCGAAGTCGCCATGACCACCCCAGGAGTGATGGCGCTGGTGGGCGCTGTGCGGATCTGATAGGCCTGGACATCCCCAGAGGCCGCTGACAGACAGACAAACAGGGCTTTTTACTAAAGCGATCCAAACATTTGAAAATAAATTCACATTAAACACTGACTGATATTAAGCTGATTCTAATTAGTATGGTTACATGTTCAAAGTGTATTGCAGATTTCATTAATTGATCTTAAAGCTGGAGTAGGCATTGAAGAAACTAGCAAGAGACAGCTAGATTTTAAGAGTATCCAATCGAATAATTCCCACCCCATCCCTTCAGGCCTCCCTCCAAGGCACAAAGCACATAGCACATTTTCACATGCAGTGATTACACAGGTAGAGTGCACACAGACAGGAAGGCAGACGGGCAGGTAGGTAAGGTGGCCAATCATTTCATTCAGACTGAATTATATCATTGGTCGTGCTTTTTACAGCCCTATGACAGCCTCAGATACCAGATGTTTTTCACTTATGTCAGAGCATTTGATTTACTGATAGCTGTCGTGATGTCAAGAGAATTTCAACAAATATAACAAAATATGCTTCTGAAATAAATTGCCTACCCTCAGCTTTAAGTATGTTTTAACAGAACATCATGTTGAATTATTTCCCCACCTTGTACGACCACTTGGTTGCTGGGTACAAGGATCTGCTGCCCGTCGCTGGTCTGGGCGTACTGCAGGATGGTAGCACCAGGCTGGGCTGTGGTAGCGTTGGCCATAGTCAGTGTCTGCAGGCCCTGCACTCCATCTGTGCCATTATTGGCCAGCTGGATGGCCCCACCCTGGGTAATGGCAACTGCAGAGGGACACCGTCATGTGTTACAATTGGTCTCAAGTTAAGTGGTGTTCTCCAAATCCAGTGCATTGGACATGGAAAGTGGAGTGCAAGGCGGCAGCTGCAAGCAAACACAAATCCTAGCTTCAAAATGTCCTTTCCTAAACATGTGATGTCACTGATGTCTACATCTTTTCTTTACGGTATAAAGCTTAAACACCACTAACTGCAGCAATGACCAACTGATTTTCTAAGTGCAGTGTTTCCCATTAATTAAAGAGCCCATGGCGGCCCGGCATAGTTTCAAAATTAACCGAAAATATTTTTACACATCTCATAACATTTCAGACCTCTAACATGTTTTGTGGGCACTGCTCTAAGCTCGCACGCTCACACACTGGCATCTGACTCAAGGCAACCGCTTTTCTTTTGAAGGTAACTACATTAATGATGTGTTTCTGTCACTTATTTGAAAAGGCAATAAAGCTAGTTGCACCTAAATTTGGAGTGCACACGTTTTCAAGCCTTTATGGTAAATCCACTGAAACGGACCAGTGCAAGATGACAGGCAGGTTAGAGATTTTATCCTGTCATTTCCTCTCTTTACAAAGACTAATGTTGCAGATTCTAACTTGAAGAGAGGATATGAAGTCTTCATGTTATGAAATTCGAGAACCACATACAATATAATTTATTAAATTGGGTCAGACTTGATGAATTTAGCGTGAGGAAACATGTGACAACATCCAGTTTTAAAAATAAAGTTTATACAGTATGGAAATAAGATCAATTGGATTATATTCACAGAAAGTATAAAAAACATATTTCATGTCTACATTAAAAGTAAAAAAAACAAAACAACAACAATAAAATGTGAGAAAATAGAATAAGTAATTTCCCTAGTTGTTGATTTAGGGTTTCTAGAAAGACATTAAATAAATTTGTTGACTTTTGTTGCCGTTTCATCAACATTTATAGCTATATAATGGGTTTAGGAACATTTTACTAGACAGGGTTCTCAAAGTTAAATTTAAGACTTTAAGACCTTTTTAATACCACCTAGAACTGAATTTAATGCCAACTTCAATGTCGTATAATGGAAATCTGTATGAATTTTAAGCCTGAGAAAGTTATTGTTTATGAAGTTACCTGAATTTTGAAAAACATTTTATTTTAATACTCACATTCATATTTAATAAACTATAGCTTTTTGGGTGTGTTTGTACTCTGATAACATAAAATAAATCAAGGATGTCACTGTGTTGAAAAATGGTGGGGATATAGGGGTGCTGGCCTTCTGAACTTGCCCATTCTGAGTCGACCATCTAAAGTTAGCTTGTTAATAGCACTTCAGAGACGCTTTGTTTTCTTTCCTAACAACTGACTGATTCGTGCACTCCACAGTCCAGAGTGTAAAGCTGAACACTGACGTGAACAGTAGGCTAATGTTACCTGTACTGCAGTATAACATTCAAGTCACACCAAACGGAGTAAATTGTAATGTCACATACACAAAAAGTGTTTATTTATGATGTTTTGGCATTTATTTAATCCAAGAAAGGACAAGAAATTTTTTTGGACCTTTGTAAACGAAATTTAATACTTTGAAGGCCTTATTTTTAGAATGAAATTTAAGACTAATACTTTTAAGACCCCGCGGGTACCCTTCCAGAGCAAAACATTGTTTACAAGAGTGCAAAGTTCTTCATAGATAGACTCTTCAATTCGCTTTAAAATGTACAACATTTTCTTCTGGGGCGAGGGCATGACCCCAGACCCCCCGGGAGGGTCCAAGGCCCACCCACCCATAGTCTCTTAAAATCCTGTGGGAAACACTGATGCATTATACTATCTTCATGTGGCAAACCCCTCTGTGCAGTGTATACCAGTGGCATCCCTCTCAAACAAAATGCGTCCATGGGCTTGAATGTGTGTCCAAGACAATGCCTGCCTAATCATACAACAACAAGCCTGATTTGACTGCTAGCAGGAAATCAACAAACAGCACTTACTGTACTGGCCACTGCTGGTCTGATAGATGGGAGTGGGCATGGTGACTGTGGTGATGGCAGGTGCTGTGTCGTCCTCTGACTTCTCTTCTTCAATTCGAGGCACTGCTGGAACGTCTGACGATAAGTCGTTCAGAATCTTCCTGTGTGTGTGGGGGAGGGGGCAATCGCAGAAAAATCTAAGCAAACTTTTTTCCATTTTTAAAATAACATGTCATACGAATGTATATTCTACTTTGGGAGAGGTTGCAAGTGAAGCTTTGTGCTCAAAAGTAACAGCAGCTGATAAAATGAAAGAGCATCAGTCATTCACTTCTAAACTCCAACGTGACACATGATTCAGACAAAAGATCAATAAATAACGGGACAAATGAAAGAGGTCTACATCTATGAGCACACGAGTAATAAATCTAGAGAAGTGATTATGGTGCGTTCCATTTGACATGGGAAGTCGGAATTTCCGACTTCCAGGGTCTACATTTCAAAGGGAACGCCCCCTTAAGTCAGAATTCCGAATTCGGAAGAATCGCACTACCCCGACTTCTTGATCCAAGATGGCTGTCGGGGTATCAACAGTTAGTGAAAGTTCTAGTTTATACTGTTTATTAGCACTTCTGTGTACTTGTGTCTCATAGAAATGTTCGTACACAAAGTGCTGTCCAACAGCTGTATGTGTAGTATGAGTAAATACCGCACAATGCATTTTTTTTTTAAATCAACCGGCGTATCAATAGCTAACCTGGCTAGTTGTAAACAAACAAACAAAAAAACCGACGGCTGGCTGAGCGCGGTTTTCCAACTTGTTAACTGGAATACTGTCAACTCGGGTGTGACATCATTCCCATCTCCGACTTCCAAGGTAAATGGAATGCACCATTAATATATTTCTAAAAAGATGTCATACAGACCTATAAGAAGGCCGTCTGGACAGGATCTCTCTCCTCTTCTGAGAATCTGTCACACTGTCTACAGACTCCTGGGAGTCCTCACTCTCAGCAACAGTAGAAATCTGCAAGTGAACAATAATATTACTTTAATGTCATGTGTCCTTGCAAATATGCTGCAATAAAGGTGGAGACATATGTGAAGAAAATATGACTTCAAACTTAAAGCTACTATCACAATGTTTTTTGCAAGGAATTATGTTCATAATGGCAGTTATTAAGTTGATTTCAGGGACAAAGTAAATTCATATCATTTTTTAATTCAAAATCAAACACGTCAGCATTCAGTGATTATTTTTATGTGCAATAAAACAGAAGGTGGTTATTCTGTGCTGTAATGGAATGATAAAAATCCTCTCACCTGTACAGTCTGGACTTGTGGGGACTGGATGACAGAGGGCTGGGCAGCTTGGATCACTCCGTGCACTTGGACTGTCTGACCGTTGGGTAACTGCACTAAGGTAACGGTAGGACTGCTGGAAGTCACCTGGCCTGCAGCTATGGATGCCTGCAACCCATAATCATACACTATCTGTATGCAAAGTTATATATAGTTCTCAGCAGTGGCAAGTGGCAACTCTCTTTTTCAGAGAGAAACTTATATTACAAGGTGCACATTTAAAGTGATGATTAAGATTTACCTGGGCCAGGGTGATCTGCTGGGCCTCAGACTCCGAGACAGCTGTTTCACCACTTTGCTGTGTGTCTGCACCAGCCTCCATGGTCATTTAAAAATCTGCATAAAAGTAAGACACTGCTTGTTTGTACGTGTATCACCATGCTTAACAGTGAACTGTGCAGCACAAACAGTGAGAACGTGGTACATGGTGTACAGCAGACAGTGGAGGTTGTCCACAGTGCTTGTTGATATTCTAAAAGGAGGGTGTGGCATAGCTTAACATGCTAGCATATAATTATTTTATTAAACACCGTAACCCGAATTTCCTTGCAGAAATAACAAACGCACTTCATAATTTAAAAGCATATAGCAGATGTGATATTCAACACCTGATAACATAACGTTAATGCTACATTTAACTGCCCTCTCACTTCCCCATAAACGCCGAAGGCTAAAGCTAACCTGGCTAGCCAAGGAGTTCTCGTTAGTGTTACCAACTTGCAGTTAGCATGCAGCTAGCTTGAGCAGAATGAGCTTCATTGCTTATCTTAGCATGCTAACTAGCTAATATGAATGCATTCAATCTTAGCACAGTTAGCAGCACTTTATTTAACATTTGTCAACGTTCAACTTCAAGTGTTTTCCCCCAGTTTCAACAAACAGTTTTGCAGTTTGGAGCTTTGCTGTAACATTTAAATGTAGTCCAAACTAACACTGCATTGATTAATAATGTCAGGTTGCTAGCTGTGAGCCTAAATGGAGGGAAATGTCTGCATGCACTGTATGCCAGTTTTGTTTGCAACTGGGGCACCCACTTTCACTAACGAGTTTGTTGGCTCAATTGTAGTTAAACACACTGTTGACATGAATTAGCTTTACACGGCTAACTGCTTCTGTAACTTATTTCTAGAACGTTTATTTAAACAAGAAATATTTAAGCCCACTCCCATATTTATACCTATGTCTCAGTTGTGTTGCGAGCCACCGAGCCTTGCAGAGACTGACTCATTTTGTGAGCCTCTGCAACACGGCCGCCATGATCTCTTTGTTGGCTTTGTGCGGAAATTAGGCGCAAATAACTTCTCTGGGCAGCCATCTATCTGTTTAGCAAACATCGGATGCGTATCCTCTTACCAACACAGACTCGCTTCGTCACTCCCGGGTCTACGGAGCTCCACTTTTATTCAGACCGACACGTAAGAGACCGCGTCAGGCTACACCTCCGTCGCGTCACCGAGAACAACAACACAGAGAGGAGGACGAGGGAGACGACGACAGAGAAAATCAGCTCTATCGACAGGACTCGAGTGAAAACGGAAAAGGCCGGAAAGTCACGAAGGCTGCCGAGGAAACGATGGAACGCCACGGAGATAGCCGATAACTCATCTGAGCATGCGCATGCTTGCGTAATTTTTGAATCTATATAAAAAAAACTTTTGGTTATTTGATTGTTAAGAAGATGACAAGTTAATCATAACAAGCAAAAGTCTCTTGCGCGGCTCCCTACATTGTGTGGATATACTCGATCCTTAAAAGTTTTTTTAAAGATTACTTATTGTGAAAGTTTAATATAATTTAAATTCGATAAAATAACAAAAATAATATTGTCAATTGTCTAAATGAATTATTTGAATTTTTCTGGCAATATTTCCCATCCTCATTTTGGTGACATTTTATGTCCTTCTTACAGTTGAATTTTTATAATGAGTATGGACTTGTTTTTCTTGTGAAATAAACGATAATTCATCATCTATTCGTTTAATTCATTTATAGCGGTAAATCATATTTATCCTCTCTACACCAATTAAACTTTAACGTTTAAGATATTATAAATCAGATGTTAGTTTTGATTTATAAAACATTTTCAGACAGTTTTTGAATTCATGAGCTGCATTGCAGTTGTTATGCACATGGTGGCAGCAAAATCCTTCTTTATTTCCAACCACCATAACAGTCAACACTGACACTGCCCCAATATGTTGTGTTTAGGCACATGTTTCTTTCATCCCTGCCTGATATGACCAGTTAGTTATCTGTGTCTGAGATTAGTCTTAACTGTGATACTGGCTTTGTACCACCCAACCACACTGTGACTTTAATGAGAAACCAGTGGGCTCCAGCCCTGTATTACTTCTTATGTACTATTTACAGCCCTCGTGATTCACATTACATTCGCTTCTCATTGGTCGTCAAATCTGGCCATAAAATGTACTCATTAACTCTGTCACTTGGTGTGTGAGGACTGGTGCTGTAGGAATAAAATGAGTTCTAAGCTGTGGCAGCTGGTCAAATCCTGCGGGGAAAATGAGACTTCAGACCAATTTATGACCATCATCTCTGTGTGCGAGGTCATTTCAGAGACCTCTTAACACACACACACACACACACACACACACACACACACACAGGCACACAAATGTCAAACATACCCATCTTCGCCTATCGAGTGATTAACAACATCAGTGGTGAAATCATATTCCCTGCTACTGCTAATCCAACTAATCTTGTGTCCTATATAAAAACTGTTTGAATAGTATCTCTCAACAAACATTTTGCACATTTCTTTTCAAAGATCACCGATAATGAACAGTGCAGTTACTAAAAACTCACAGCAAATGTAATAAATATTTGTCACAAAGCAGCCCTCATATCCTGGGGATCCCTGTTCCTGAGTCCAGTGACTTGACTGCCCATTGATTTCCCTTAATAATGACCACAAGCTAGTAGCCTGAGCAAACAATAATTAGCCTGCAGCCCTACACGAGAGGAGAGGTTTCATATATATATATATATCGATCTTGCACAAATAATATGAGTATTGCCAAAATGTATTAATGCAATGTTATAAGCTTTTTACATCATTTGCTACTGTGACACCTGCTAATGTAGTTACTGAGTAAACTAGAAACAGTATAACCATCAGAGTAGTAAAAATGAATGACAACAATAGATTGTTTTCCCAATGAATAAATTATAAAATGTCATAAAATACTGAAAAAGTCTCACTACATTTTCCCAAATGTTCAAATGGTTCGTTTTAACCTGAAAGAGACTGAGAATATGAGAATATATACATTTCAGATGCTAGAACAAACTATTTTTTATTACAAATACAATTATAAAAATTGTTTCCAATAAATTTTCAGTGGATCAACTAATCTTCTCAGCTCTAAACTTTTGCATAAATACATTTTAATTCAGCTTCCTTTGTCACTAAAACCCAAAGCCTTTCACATTTGCTGTTGAAAACACATGAACGCACAAACACAATCAAGGCTATCCTTGCATTATTCACTTCTTCATCACCTCGCCATTGCGTTTCCTGAGTGCATATCGATGCGGTCAGTGTTCCTGGTGATTAAAGCAAATCTGAGATTCTGACTGCTAATGCTGGTGAGTTCTGGCACAGAACATCTGATTTGCAAAGGCTTTTACCAGAGCGCTCTGCAGTATCCCCACTACAGCAACAACCCTGGCTGTAAATCACTGTTGAAACACGAACAAACAGCAGAGTAAAATGATGCCGCAGACGTCCAAAATGGTGTAGGAGGAGCAGGATAGGAGTTTAATCTTCAGAATATGAAGTAGAGACCTGACTCCAATCCATAGCCCTTTCCTTTTTCCTTAAACCCAGCTGTCAAAGCCCCTGGCTTAACACAAGCCTCCCAAACCCCATCGACAGCAAGCCCTGACACTTTCTATTTCCCCCACTTTTTGTGTCTCTCTGCTCCCCTCTTGCCTGTTTCTGCATGTTTGTTTTTTTTCAATCACACACTCATATGAAAAATCATGACCCCCATCTGCCTCATGATCCCAGGACGGCATACGTATGAAGCACCCCCCTTCGGCATCAGGCATGTCTTCTGCAGTACTGAGTGTATTAATAACATGCCTGATATATTCTGTCAACATTGCCGTCGAATTTTAAATGCAGTCCTCAATCAAACCAAGTGGAAATATCATACCTGCCACTCAAGCAGGGCATTGTGGGAGATGTCAGCTCGTACGGGCGTGCAGGCCATGTGGCTTCCAGAGAGAGGCTGAATATGAATGCGGAGGGGGGAACATGCGGCGCATTTGAATACCACTGACCTTATATGCATGCTTTTCATCGTAGGTTGAATTACCTGAATCACATATGAACCAGTGCACCTGGCTGGGGTTGCCATGGATACTGGGCCCCACAGTCTGTCTCTCTCTATCATGCATGCACTCACATAAGCGAGGTTCTCAAGTCTGGAGATGCGAGTTTCAGAGATATCCAGTAAAATATTGTGTCGCTGAGGTGCAGTATCAAGCTGCAGCTGCAAGGCAGGAGAGTTATCTAACACACAGAGATTGTGCTGACCCAGACCTCTTGCTAATCTAGGCTGTAGGCAACACAGTGTATTGGACGATCTCAATCAATCCGTCAAGGTGTCAGCTCCTCCCTCCCTCTCTATCTTTTCCTCCTGCAAGGATTTTTCGCCATGCTCCCTTCCCCCCTGCTTCTTCCATCTGACTGAAGGTTAGGTTCAGATTTTTTTCAAATGTACCTTAGAACAATACCCACATGCTCATGACGACATTAGATGAGTTATTGGTCACTAGAATCACTCCTCCTCTGACAAAATCCACAATCCTTGTTCTGTGCAAAAATTTAGTCTAAGCTTCAGCGGTCTGAGTTAGGCAAATCAGGGGGGAAGTATTTTCATAAGCGTTTTACTCTTTGTGTTTTCACGGACAATGAATGTTAAGGTAGTGAAATGTAGATTTGTAGCTTCGGATCAGGTATTGACCATGATGTAACCAATCCACATTAAGAACAGTTTCTTTGTCTGTGTACATTCATTCAAGCCCCACATTAGTTTTCAGTGTCACACCTACACCTGACCTTGCTTAAAAACAAATTCCTTCAGTTCAATACAGTGACTTACACAGATTTTGGAAACAAGGGACTAACAAGGGATTGGTATTTGGTATCAGCAGAATTGAGGTATCGGAATCAGTATCGGGAAATAAAAAGCCAGAATGGTGCATTCCGAAATTTGACTTGGCCTTGTTTAAAACAATGACAGATCTGCGTACAAAAGGCAGCACCAGCATTAATTTTAGTGGGACCAATGCATATGGCTTTGGCAAAAAGCGCAGGCTCACCTTTTTCCACAGCGCAATGCATAATAATGTTTTTTACATGACTGTAGCTGTGATCCTATGTACATCCAGGAATAGTCATCACTATATACTTAACAGTCTTCAATCATCATAGTCTTCCTGTTCCTCTGTGGTGCCGGTGTGCTTTCTTGCCATCAAACATCACATAAAACCAACAAATACAAATAATATCTCTTTCAGAAAACCCTCACTGATAGATACTAGAAACATGCCGGTGAAGGTTGCCAATTTCTCTTGCTCATTTTAAGCACCATCTTGTGGCTCTCAGTTCAATTTTTGTGCCACTGCAGCAGCATCTGTAATTTTCTTCTTGATTGCCAGGAGTTTGAGACTGGTCCCCGGTGTTTTATCATGTTTGGCTTCACACACAGGTAGACAAGCTCTGCCCACACTCTGCTGTGTTTGTCAAAGCAATTGGAGTTTCCAACAGCAGCTGTCTCGTCCTGCGAAGGAACCAGAAGTTGAGGCCGATCCTTGAATCCTTCCTTTTATTAGGGTTCTGTGGAGAGAGATAACTGCTCATTCAAGTATTCAAGCTGGAGGTAAAACACATTGTCCAAGCCCTATCAGGTTCCACCCCAACACACACAATATTTTCAAAAATACTGTGTGATCTAGAAAAGGAAAAAGTGTACATTCACATGTATCAGCATCAGATCAATGTCAAAACATTTTATGTGAGATTTAAAGGAGGGAAAAAGAATCCTCACCCTTTAAGTACAGAAGTGCATTTTTTATATTTTAGCTTTTGATCCATGGCTTTCTCCAGCTTGTTTTCTTTCTTAAACGAAAATCGACATTCAATCCCCCCTGTTGCCTTTTTTCTTTTAGCGAGCCAGTAGGAGGGCAAGACAGGGGTAAAAGCAAAAAAACACACGCATGATGGGATAGGTGCTGGAGTTAGTGTGTGTGCTCAAGTGTGTGTGTGTGGACTTGCCGCAGTGCTCCTTCCCGTCATAACATGTCA